GAGAAGGAAGGAAAGGAGGACAAGAGGGAGGGAGGATGGAAGAAAGGAAGGAAGGGCAGGAGGGAGGAAGGAAGGAAAGAATGAAGGGAGGGGAGAAGAATGTGAGGAAGGGAGGAAATAAGCATTTATTAAGTGCCCCCTATGTGCCAGGCACTGTGCTAAGTGTTTTACAAATATTTTCTCATTTAATCCTCACAACAGCACTGGGAGGTAGGTATTATTATTACTTCAATTTTACAGTTGAGGAAACTGAGGCAGACAAAGGTGAAGTAACTTGCCTAGGGTCATACAGCTAGTAAGTGTCTGAGGCCAGATATGAACTCAGGTCTTCCTGACTCTAGGCCCAGCTCTCCATCTACTGCCTCACAAGCTGCCTCTAAAATTAGGGTTCAGAACTCACTCGGGTCCAGAATAGACTACCACGAGAATATAATGTTGAAGAGACACAGCATGGCCTGGTAGATAGAGGGCGGGTCAGGGAGCCAAGAAGACCCAAGTTCAGCTCTTGAACTCCTGCCTATCCTAGCTGTGTGACCATGGGCACTTGTCACTTAACATCTCAGTGCCCCTGGGCCACCCTCTCAGTCTACATGTCACAGAGAAATTACTCTGCCCAGATGAAGAGCATTTCTATTAACATGCATTCCCCATACTGATAAAATTACAAGTCTGGACTCCCCCCACCCTAACTCCCCCCAGAAAAGACCATAAGGAAAATGCAGAGTACTTTGCAAGGTCAGAGGAAGGGAATGTTTTCAGCTAGAGGCATTAAGGAAGGCTTTCTAGAGAAGATGATTTTTCTTCTGGACCCAAATAAGTAGGCAGGTAGGTGGTGCAGTATTGGCACCGGCCTGGAGTCAGGAAGACTTGAGGTCAAATCTGGCCTCAGACACTTACCGGCTGTTTGACCCTGCACTTGTCACTTAATCTCAGTTTCTTCATCTGTAAAATGGGGATAATAACAGCCCCTATCTCCCAGGGTTGTGAAGCTCGAGTGAAATGATGATTGTAAAGCGCTTAGCACAGTGCCTGGCACATAGTAAATGCTATATAAATGTTAGCCATAATTGTTATTAAGATTGAAAAAGTTGGAGAAACAGGGGAAAACAGGCATTTGTTCCACAATTCATTATTGAGTGCGTGGGGATAAATAGATGAGAAGAAGCTAATTATTTGTGTCTTGTGTGGCTAGCTACATCAAATTGCTTGCCTTCTTAATGGAGGGGACGGGGAAGGGGAGAGAAAGAGAATTTAGAACTCAAAATTTGAAAAAAAAAGAATATTAAAATTGTTTTTACTTGTAATTGGGGAAAAAATTTAAAATATTTTAAAGAAGCTATTTAATTGAGCATAAACACCTAAAAAGCTAAGTGGTAACAAATACAAACCATAAATGAGTAAAACAGAAAAGAGGCTTGCCCAAATTGAGCCCATGGGTGTGGCTATAGGTGATGGGAGGAGGGGGGTAGTTACAAAAAGAGGTGGAGTGTGAAGATGCGGAAATGATAGTTCCTCTTTTCTTTCTTGGGCAGCTTGGCTGAGAATCAGATCCACAGCAAAGGGGCCAAGGCTCTGGCCAGATCCCTCCTGGTCAACAGAAGTCTGACTGTCCTGGAGTGAGTCTGCTGCGTTTCTGTATGAGACCGGAGCACTGGGTTCAGAATAGCTAGGGAACAGCAGCTAGTCCCCGTTTCTTCCGATCCGGTGAACCCAGCCAAGCACAGGGAGTTTTAGCAAAGGCCATTTTCTCCTTTTTCCAGGGGCCTCTGGTGGAAATTATCAGGTTTTCTGCCTGCCCACACACTGGGTCCCCAGATATAGGACAGTGACATAGGTCATCATTCTTCACCACTGCCTAGAGGGTGTCTGCAATCGCCTCCTTTCTCAGTGATCTGAGCCCTTCAAAGCAAGGAGTAGATAGTGGGGACTTTGGGCTTCTTGTCCTTCCCTGCTGTGGTTCCTCAACAGTTACAACACTAGCTGTCTCCCTCTGGGACCAAGATATCTTTTCTTCTTTTTTTTTTTTTTTTGTTAAGGTATCTGGTTCCTAGTCAGGAGATACCTTCTGCTCCTACGCCCAGGTCCACATTCTTTACTTAGGGGTGTTGCTAGGCATGTTTCCACACCCTGCAAGCCAGGCGGGTCCCTGGGCCTCTTTCTCCGAGTGTGTGTCTGGCCTCAGGGGAGCCCCTGGGTTTTTTCACAACAATCTCACTCTCAGGGACCCTCTCCTTCCCTGACCTTCACCTTCTCCCCTCCCCCAAACAAGCACCAGGACATGAAAGCCCAAACCAGCCCTTTAAGAGTCAATGATTTAAATGTTAAAGCCCATCCTAAAAGAACAAAAACACATCGGACCCTTCCTTGCTTTAATTTCCCTTCAGCAAACAGAGAGGAGGTTAACTTTGTTGTTCTTGCTATCTTGTTCTTCCACCAGTCTTCGAAGTAATTCCATTGGACCACAAGGAGCTAAGGCCCTGGCAGATTCTTTGAAGATTAACCGGGTCTTGGTGTCTCTGAGGTGGGTGTCAATGGTTCTTTTTGCCAAAAGATCTGTGCTGTGAGAGGGCCTAGGAAAGTCTGTCCCTTCAGGAACCACAAAGGGGGCAGAAGGAATTTCACTAAGTTAGCTGTCACCATACCAGCCCAAATCCCCTTGGGTGACCAGGCTAAAAAGTCATTCTGATGGCCAGACTTGTCTATTCATAGGGTCTTTTGGGGTCCATTGAATGGGAATTGCTAAGGGTGTCCTTCTCTAGGGTGGCTGGATGACCCCATCTCAAAGCAAAATCAAAGGAATGCAAACCATAGGGAATGTTGATAGAGTATCCTTAATGCATGGAGGATGCATGTATGGCATCGTGGATAGAGTACCACTCTGGAGCCGGAAGGACCTGGGTTCAAGTTCTGCCATAGACCCACAATAACTTGGTGACCCTAGACAAGTCTCAGTGCCCTAGGCACTCTCTAAGACTGTAAATTACAGAAAAGGTGACAACCTGTATTAGTAGAGGGAGCTTCCTCATCTGGAGATGCCCCTACCAATGAAATCTTGAGTCTGGTCCCCATCCCTTACCCTATCCCTACCCATTACATATATACACTGTCTCACTTCAGCCTCACAACATTGAGAGGGAGGAATTTTCCAATGAGAAAACTGAGTGATTTCTGCAGGATCATATATGTGTGTGTATATGTATATACATGTATGTATGTAGGTATATAGCACACACACACATATATATATATATATGTATGTATGTATGTATATGTAAGGATTTGATTCCAGCTCTTCTGTTCCTTGGGCCAACTCCAAGAGCCTTTGTTTCTGTACTCTTTCATACTGCAGCCTCCAGAATAATGCCATTAAGGACGACGGTGCCAAGTTCATCGCAGATGCCCTGATGGTGAACCACATGCTCTCCGTGTTGCAGTGAGTGTCTCGGAGTCAGCCCAGAGCCCCTAACATATTCTGTGCCCCTCCTTGTCTCCTGTAGACCTCTCTGCACATCTCCTATGAGCAGTAATAAGGGGTGGGGCATATTGGGTGGTCTCCGGGACTTTTTTTTTTGCTTTTTTTTGGTGAGGCAATCGGGGTGAAGTGACTTACCCAGAGTCACACAGCTAGTAAGTGTCAAGTGTCTGAGAGCAGATTTTGGAGTCAGGTCCTCCTGACTCCAAGGCCGGAGCTCAATCTACTACACCACCTAGCTGCCCCTCTCCAGGACCTTTTGACCAGAGTAACTGGTTTTTCCCAAGGTTCATTTCCCTGGAACAAAAACGAAATGTTAGGATAGAAAGACAAAAAGGGTACAAGCAATGACAATGGTTCAGTGTCCACTTTTGACCACCTCCTTCTGCTCTCAGAGAAGCTAAATGTTGCTTTTTGAAAAGAAATACAGGCCTTAAGAGAAACTGGAGGGCTCTCAGAAGAGAGTCTCTGGCCTAGAAATCTCCCTGGCTTCTAACAACCTGCAAGTGCTTAGTATTGGCAGGGCTCGGAGCTAAGGGCTGGAGAAACAAAGATAGAAATGCCCCAGGCCTTCCCCTCAAGGAGTCAATAAAAGGGGCAAAAATATACACACCAATAAATTTGATGCGATAATAATGGATATTTAGAAAAAACACTTTAACATTTGCAAGGTGCTTTACATTTATTATTTTGTTTGATCCTGGCCATAACTCCGTGACATAAGTGCTACGGGTGTTATCCCTATTTTATAGATGAGGAAACTGAATCTTAGATTAAATGACCTGCCAAGGTCACAGAGCAAGAAAATGTCAGTTAGGATTAGAATCTAGGCCATTTTGCCTTCAAGTCCTCACTCTTACACTATACTGCCCCCATGAGGCAGAACATATTAAAAGTAAAGGAGGGTACTCTAGGCCAAGTGTGCGAGGGTGGAGTCCAACAATGGTGTGTATTCAGGTTTTTTGGGGTCCCAAAGCAACTTCAGACTGGGAAGGATTACTATGTAGTCCGTACTGACTCTGTAAAAAAGAAACCTAAAATTCTTTATTGATGTATTTCGTTTTTACATTGGCTAAATTTTCCCTTGTGTCCCTCCCTTCCCTCTCTTCCCAGCATGCAAGTCTATATATTTTATTATATTTATATATTTTAAATATTATTATATAATGCATGTGTATTCTAATTTTAATTAGTATTTTTTATAATCTGTAATCATAATTTTAATGCTATTTCTTTTAAAGAAAAAGAGACAGAAGTTTTAAAAAATCAGCAAAACCAATGAATACAATTGACCAGATTGATACTTTGACCCTCAGCAAATGTTAGCTGGGCTACTGGAGATAGTTGTACAAACACATAGATGTCCATCCATCCATCTACACTTCCTGCTCCTTATTCAGGGTAGGATGACAGCTTCAGTGACTTACCTGCACCCTCATCCTATATATTTTGGTGCCCAAAAGGACTATCTTTCCTCACCTTGCTTATGGACCTGCTGCCCAATCCTGCTTCACTCCTATTCTCAGCTCCTCACTGCAATATCACACTGGGGCTCACACATAGGTATTTCCTAGAGAATCATAGGGGCATGGTTGCAGGGAGAAGGCAGTCATCCACTGACCTCCACCCTTCACCTCCACTCCCTGCCTGCCCAGTGCTTTGTCTAGACAGTGGCTGATGGATGGCATTTATGAGTAACTCTGACTCTTCCACAGCTTACAAAAGAATGCCATTGGCCCTCCTGGAGCCAAGCCGATTGCAGATGCCCTAAAGAAGAATGGGACCCTGAAGGAACTCATGTAAGGAATCCCCGAGAATGCTTCTATTTCTATAATGTTCCTTGGTACCAAGGTGTGTGAAAGTTGGACACTGGTGAAAAGTAAACAGGCTAAGTGGCCAGGGAACCAGAATGAAAGTCAAAAGACCTGGGATCTGCCAAGCCCAGGGTGGCTTCTGACTCCCTAAATGGTACTCAATGAGCCTCCGTCTCCCAAACTATCAAGTGGTATTTCCTGACTATATCATATGTAACCCAAGAATCCATGATTTCAGTGGGCAGTACTCCTCCCACCAGTAGCAATGGAAACCCTTCTGTGCACTAGAAGATGGTCTTTCCTAGATGTTATGGCTAAAGAGATTTGTTACCCATTGGGCAACCTTCTGGTGATGATGAAAAGCCTCTGAATTTAGCTAGGCTGATCCTTGGACAACAGAGGTGGCTTGTTACCTGGCCCGTACTTGAAGCCTTCCCAGCCTGAGAGGATTTACCAAGACTTGTCCTGGCTTTTAAATGCCTAGTGTCATCTCCATAATCTGATGAGGTATCAGAGAAAGCCTTTAGTGGAAGATTTTATAAACAGAGTACTCAAAAGGGAATCAAAGACAAGAAGTCGGCACTTTTGCCCCTTATTTTCTGTGAATGACTTGAACAGTGGCTCTTGGTCCACTAGGAGCTCTTGAGAGGAATGGCAACCATCTTTCTGGCTTTGTGAGCTATACTAACGGGGTTCCCTGAGTCATGGGAGGGAAATATAAGGAAATACAGTCAGAAGCACGTGGCTGCCTACCTGAAGAAGAGGGTGGGAGAGAAGGGGATGGGACTCTGGGCTCACTGCTATTACCTACTTGTTCTCAGGTTTTCTAGCAACAGTATTGGAAATGACGGCTCCAAAGCTCTGGCAGAGGCACTGAAGGTGAACCAAGGTCTTATCACCCTGGAGTAAGTTTGTCTGATGGAAAGTCAGGACCGTGCTCGCTGCTGGTGGCGGGCATGAAGCATGTATTCTCCAAGTGGGGCTCAAAGTGGTCTCTTTAGGGCTTCTTCAGGCAGGTTCAAGGTGGATTATGGGTTATGTTGGGCTGTGAAGAGAGAGAGAGAAACAGAGAGAGAGAGATGCAGTGACAGAAAGACAGAGAAATAGAGATTGAGATAGACACAGAGACAAAGGGAGAGAGATGGGGCGGGATGTATAGACTTCTAATCATACATTTTTTTTTTTTACCAGAAACTAACCAAGCATAGCCACAAAACACTGGGCAGTCCTTCAACCTGTCCCCATGTACAAAGTCTTTGCCGCTTCTTGCCAGTCTTTGTACCATTTCTCCTCTTTCCATGTGAATAGCATGGGTCAACTAGTCAAGAGGAGATCAAAGAGGGATGCTTCTGGAGTGATTCAGGTGTGGGGGGGGGTGGTCCTGAAGGGAAGCAAAGAGGGTAGATGGAGCCTCTGAAGTGGTCCATGGGCTGAGAAGTTTGAAAACCACAGATGTGCAGGAAAGGGAGTGGCCAACACAGAAAAGATATAATCATCTTTCCTCCCTCCCCAGGACCAGTTTGTGTGTGGTGCCACTATGCCTCTTGCCTACATGGTTTGTCTTGGGACCAGCCCTGTCTGACACCACCAAGGGCTCCTCCTAGTTCTGCAATGGTGTTGAGCATAGCCTAACCTCTGGTGGCGAAGGATCTGGATCTCTGTGGCCTAGACATTCAACGCATCTTCCATATGATTAAAGACCTGCATTTATAAAATATCACAGTAGTGCTGCATGGGGCAGTGTGATGAAACCAAGCTACCTGACCTCTACCAAAATCAGATCCATGACCAGAGCTGTCCCAATAACTCTTGGGTAGAATTGGAAGCTCCTACACACACATCAATCTATAAATCCCCCACTGTCCCTAAGGCACTTCTGATGGCCCTGCCTCTCCCTACTCCCACTCTCTTCAGGCTAGATGTTGTCTTATACAATCTCATTTCCTATCCAAGACTGCCCTTGGAGTTCATTTTGATCTGTCACCATGATAAATATGTTGGGAGGGAGCACAGAGTATTATTTGCCCTGGACTGCTGCTAATTCCCAGGATTTTCTGTCCATGACCTTGGTTTTATTAGTGCCTTCCTGGCTCCAGTCTGTGTGAAACCCTACATGCCCCATCTTTTCTGTATAAGAATCTCTAGGACCCACATCCAGTGTATTCTCTCCAAGGACTATAGCTGATAGCTCTCTAGGTAGGGTCAGATCACTGGGGATCTTTGAGCAAATCCATCCATTCTGAAGCAGCAGGCACCTAGCAGTGGGGTTTACTTTGGAGTTGGAGGCAAAGGAAGGAAAAGGGTAGGCGTACCGTCTATGGCCCCTTGGATACTGCTAGACCACAGTTTCCGAATCCAAGCTATACTGTGGGCTTGTCAAATATCTAAATCCTCCATGCTCTGCAACCTCAGTGCATGGATCTGAGCATCTTGGGGAGTGGAGAAGGCTACTGCTGGAGGAAGAACCAAATGCAGGGATGGGAAGCAGGAGGAAGAGACAGACATTTTAGTCTTAGAGATTCCTTGAAGTAAAGGCCTTGGACAGTAACCATTGTGCAGGAAGGGAAAAATTATCTGAAGCCATTTGTGTGTGTGTGTGTGTGTGTGTGTGTGTGTGTGTGTGTGAAACTGGTATAGACTCTAAGCTCCATGAGGGCAGGCACCTTGTCATCAACACTTTAGCTCTCCCTCAGTGCCACATGGGGCCCACAGCAGGTACAGGAATGAATGAATGAATGAATGAATGAATGAATGAATGAATGAATGAAAAAAGTATTTATTAAGCATTTACTATATGCCAAAATCTGTGCTGTGCTCTGAGGATACCCTCAAGGGGAGTAGCAGCCAGATTGGGGCAAAGTAAGAGGGATGATGAATGGGGTCACTGGGGCATAGATTAATTAATACATGCATGATAAATGTCTTGGATTGAACTGATTCGACTGGTGACTTTGGCCTCATCAGTGCTGTGGGCTAAGCAGAACTCACTCCTTAGCCATGGTGGGACACTGACTGCCCTGATGGCAGCCAGGCCAGGACTGCAGAGTGTAATGTTTTGCCTCCTCTCTCCGTCTTTAGCCTTCAAAGCAATTCCATCAGTGATGCTGGGTTGGCTGCCTTGACACGTGCTCTCTGCTCAAATCAGACTCTTCTCAGCCTTAAGTGAGTCTTAGTTCCTGTTATCCAACTGTGGATTCCCATTTCCCAAGGGCAATCTTCCTTGCAAGGGTCAAAAGGAACTGATTTATCTTTGTGGAGGTATCAGGACCCCACCCACACCCCCATGGGAAAGAAATCTGGAGGATGCCAGGGCCCACCAAAGGGTGAAGTATGTGCTGGAGCCCTGGCAAAAATCTCCTGGGTACTCACAGAAATGGACCTAGTAATCAGCTGCAATTACAAATCTCTTCCTTAGATTAGGGAAGAGTAGTATGGCCTGGGTTGTTTGGGTGACAGTGTGGTTCAGTGGAAAGAGCATTGTATTTAAAGTCAGATGACCTGGATTCAAATCCTACTACCTTTGTGATCTTGGGCCAGTCACATTCCCTCTCTAGGTCCCAGTTTCCTCATTTGTAAAATGAGTGGGCTGGACTATATAATCTTTAAAATTCTTACCAGTTGTAAGTCTGTGGTAAGAACACCACCCCAAAACAGCAAAATCTGCTTGTGGTACCACTTTCCCTTGGTGCCACTTCTCTCTGTTTCTCTGTCTATGTCTCTCTGTTTCTATCTCCCTCCCTCTCTTTTCCTCTCTCTCTCTCTCTCACCCTCTCTCCATTCTCTCTCTCTCTCTCCTCCTCCTCCTCCTTCTTCTTCATCTGTTCTTTATCCTTCTCTTTCTCTCTTTCCTTTCTCTCTTCTCCCCCCTCTCTCTTTCTCCCTTCTTTAGTTTCTATCCCTCCCTCTCTTTTCTCTCTCCCCTTCCCTCTCTTTCTGTCTCCATTCTTCTCTCCTCCTCCTCTTCCTCCTCCTTCTCCTTCTCCCTCTGTCTCTATCTCTCTCTGCCTCTGTCTCTTTGTGTCTCTCTGTCTCTGTCTGTCTGTCTGTCTCTTTCTCTTTCTCTCCCTCTCTTTTTCTCTCTCTTTCCTCACCAGGTAGACCAAGGAGGGGGGCGGCCAAAAGGCTTCCCAAGAACTTCAGAACCCTCAAGGTAGGGGAGTTGAGGAAGATGATGGTGATAGATAGAGCTGATGATAGCAGGCACAGATTTGGGAAGAGCTCTCTGTGTGTCTACTACTGTTCTCCCCTTAACCCCTCCTGCCTGGCTTGGCCAGTTCCTGCTCCTGCCTCTCTTTTCTGAGCCTGGCCTCCCACTCAGCCCTGTGGTTTGCCGGTCCTATGGACACCTAAGTTTTCCTGGGCCTCAGAAGGTAGAGGTGTCTAATATGGTGTCCTGGGGTGGGGGGAACTTCACTCCTCACTTTGAAATACTGGGTATCACTTTCTCTCCTTAGCCTCCGAGAAAACTCCATCAGCCCAGAGGGAGCTCTGGAGATCGCAAGTGCTCTGCGCAGCAACCAGGCCCTCCAGAACTTGGAGTAAGTCAGGTCTCAGGGGAGGAGGGCTTGGTGAGGGAGAGGGTAGTGGAAGGAAGGGGGCATTAGCTTTTTCTTTAAGATGGTTTATATTATTTTTGTGTCACCATAAAACCAAAGAAACTCTCTCTTGGGAATTTCATCCTCCCTGGTCTGTCTAATAGTTGGTTCTCCCTGAATGGGCATAAGAGGGACTAGGAAAGAACAGTGACCCTCCCTGACTTTACCTCACAATATCAGGGAAAGGGACTGAGGTTTCAAGACAGAAGACATGGGTTTTAGTCCAGCTCTGCCATTAACTAGATCCATTATTGTAGCAAGTCACTTTTGTATTTGTTTCGCCCCCCCCAGCACACCACACAGGATCTGGCTCATAGTAGGCACCTAATAAATGCTTGTTGATTGATTGGTTAAAACCACCTCACCTGTCTGAGCCCTAGTTTCCCCATATGTGAAATGGGTATAATATCTGCCTTGCCTACCTCGGATTGTGACAGTAAATAGAAATCTTCAAGCAGCCTTTGAAAGTCACAGAAGTTGCTATAGATCGGTGGTGTCAAACTCAAATAGAAACAGAGCCCTTCGGGCCACAAAAGAACATAACTTAGGTTATGTTGTATTTTTATTTATTTTGTTAAACATTTCCCAGTTACATTTTAATCTGGTTCAGTTGCACTCTGGAGTTTTGCAGCCTATGGTAGTGACTCTGACATCTATGCAGAATGGGGTGACTCGACGAGAAGAACATAAATTCTAAAAGAAGAGGGATTTAGCTTAGCCATAAGAAAGAACTTTTTTTTAAAGAGCAGACTAACCCTGGAATGAGTCAATAAGGGAAGCTGTGAAATCATTTTTCCAGGAGAGTTCTAAGTAGAGATCAGACATCAATCTAGTCCTCTGGAAGGGCTTTCAAATAGGCAAGCTCCATGCAGTCATAATAATTAATAGCTATTTAACAAAACACTTCCCTTACAACAATCTTGAGGGCTTGGTACAGCTATTTCCTCATTTTATAGATGAGGAAAGAAGCTCAGAAAAGGTCGAGCAACTTGCCTATAGCCACACCGCTAATGAATGTTAAAGCCAGAACTTGAACCCAGGTCTTTGATGTCCTTAAATCGATGATATAATCCATTCCCTAGACTGCTCTCTCCGAAAGGTCTACTGTCTGGAATTCATAACAAGGCAGGGAGTTAGGTCCAAAGGGAGAGCGAACTTGTGTTTGGAAGAACTACAAGTAGGTAACGAATAACTGAGCCCTGGACTGTGCAATTCACATTTTGTGTTCCTTTGCTCTTACTTAGCCTGACAGCCAATCTTCTCCATGATGAGGGCACGCAGGCCATTGCAGCAGCGGTGAAAGAGAATCGAATCCTCAGAACCCTCCAGTGAGTTTTCTCCTTCGCACATTATTTAAGTCTTCCCTACACCCCACAACCCCCAATTTCCATCATCCTTATCAAAAAGTATTCAGTAATTGTCAGGCCCACTCCATACCACATTGGGAAGTAAACAGAGGTCCAGTGGACATTCCAACTCCCCCTCCCCCCAGCCCCCACTCTGCACTCCTAAACACAATGCTGGCCTTCCCCTCCTCCTTCCTTTCTCTCACTCCCTTCAGTATCATACATCCCTTTGTCACAGAGGTAACTGGGTGACCCAATGGATAGAGCACTGGGCCTGGAGTTGGGAAGATCTGAGATCAAATCCTGCTTCAGATACTTCTTAGCTGTGGGACTCTGGCCAAGTCACTTTACTTCTGTCTGCCCCAATTCTCTCAACTGTAAAAAAAAAGGGGGGATTATAATAGCACCTACCTCTCAGGGTTGCTGTGAAGCTCAAATAAGATAATAATTATACAACATTCAGCATAGTAGCTGCACATGGTAGGGCCCTAATAAATGTCTGTCCCTTCCTCTTTCCTGATCTCTAGTCTGATGATCTATATCTTGCCCAAGGTTGCTGACTATTTAACCTTCTCAGGTGACATAGCAAGTCATTTGCCCATTCCAAGCTTCAATTTCCTCGTCTTTAAAGTGAGTGTTCATGGGCAGTCAGGTGGTGAAGTGGAGTCAGGCCCTGGAGTCAAGAGAACCTGAGTTCAAATCTGGCCTCAGATACTTACTTGCTATGTAACCCAGGGCAAGTCACTTAACCCCAATTGCCTAAAAAAAATAGATAAAATAAAGTGAAAGTTCAGACTAGATGATCCTTAAGGCCCCCTCAAACTCTAAATCCTGTGGACTTTCTTTTGAGAATGCTTTCAGTTACACCCTCCCCCCACCCAGAGTATAGAACCATGGGCACTGAGTACCCATAGAGAGGATTGGCCCTGGGGCAGCCCACATTTGAGCCTTTGAACTAGGGTGGACCATGATAAATCAGGGATCAGTAACATCACCAGGGCAGAGCACTGACTCCAGAGAACATGGAGAAGGCATAATGAGAACCATAATTGTGACCATCCATGCTTCCCCTTGGTTCTCTTTCCATGGTGATCTGGGCTGACAAGGCAAGATGGAGTATGTTTGGCTCTGAAGTTGGTGCTAAAGTCACAATTCAAACCCCACCTCTGGCACTACCTGTGTAACCTTAAGCCAGTCACTTAACCTCCCTGGGCCTCAGTTTCCTTATCTGCAAAATGAGGCAGTTCAACTAGACATCTTCTGAGGGTCCCTTCCAGATTTTGCTCCATGAAACTGGAAGCAAGGAGAGATTGGGTCAGCCCTGGGAAATGAAAGCAGGGCTGACAAAACTTTGTCATTAGTAATGATTTTGGAAAAATTTATATAAGTTTTACTGTGATAACTCACTATAAGGTGGAGGTACTGCTGGGTTCTCAAAGGTTATCCCACAAGAACACAAAGCTCTGCTAGGTCCTACCAACCTCTGTGTGTGTGTGTGTGTGTGTGTATGCACGCGCACACATGTGTGTATATGTATGTGTATATATGTATATATGTGCATGTGTGTATGTATGTATGTGTATATATATGTGTATATGGATATGCATATATGCATATGTATATGTATATATTATATGGAGCTGGTGACAGACTATCTGTCATATAAATACCAGCCTCATTAATTTTTTTTTACTCTTTAAAAAAATTTTTTTTACTATTAATTTAACCATCATTAACAAACACAAACATTTCAATATCCAAAGAACAAAAAGAGGATTTTATATATAACTGTGTACTTCCAATAGGTACAATTTTAAAAAGCATATATTAAATTTAACACAGTAGTAACAAAGCTGCCCCATTTGTGTCCCTTCTGCATTTTGTTTTCTTTCAAGTATATTGATTATTTTCCTTTTTCTTCCTTTCGCTTCTTTCTTTTCTTTCCTTTCTTTCATCATGGCTTTCAGGAAGACCAATAATTCTTAAGTTATCTCTCCTGGATCCATTTTCCAGGTCAGTTGTTTTTCTAAAGAGATATTTCCATTGTCTTCTATTTTTTCATTCTTTCAGTTTTATTTTATAATCTCTTGATTTCTCACAGAGTCATTAGCTTCCAATTGCCCAGTTCTAATTTTTAATGAATTGTTTTCTTCAGTTAGCTTTTGTACCTCCTTTTCCATTTGACCCATTTTTAGGTAGTTGTTTTCTTCATTTTTTTTCCATTTTGTCAATTGTATTTTTAAAGGAATTGTTCGATTTTCCTTCTACCTCTCTTGTTTAACTTTTAAAATCCTTCTTGAGCTTTTCCAAGAAGGCTTTTTTGGGCTTGAGACCAGGTGATATTCCCCTCTGAGGTTTCAAATGTGGGTATATTGACAATGTTGTCCTCACCTGAATTTGTGTTTTGATCTTCCCTGTCACCAAGATATTTCTCTATGGTTATTGTTTTTCTATGTTGCTTCTTGCTCATGTTCTTTGCCTTTTTTCTGGCTTTTAAAGTTGATCTCTGCTTCTGGGGCACAAGGGTCACTGTTTCAGGCTTCTTGTGCTGGGGGCTAGGGACCTGGTTACTGGTTTGCTGAGGTGGGGTTTGCCATTGGCTTACTGGGACACCTCCCTTCCTGTACTGGTCCCCTTCAGCCACAGCAAGAAGGACCTTTCCCATTAATGCCTCTAGCCTCACAAGCTAAAAGACTGCTGTGACTTGTCTTTCTGCTGACTCTACTATTTCACGATTTTTCCTGTGGCAATATATCTCTGGGTTTTTCAAGGTCAATAAGGGATGGTGAGAGCAACTTACTGCTTACTCTGCCATCTTGGCTCCTGGAGGTCCAAATAGGTGACTTTCAAACAGTCTGTGGGCAACTAGCTCCAGGAGCAGCCTCTGCTGCTGCTGCTGCTGCTGCCATGACTACTGCTGCTGATTCAGTCACTCGAAAGTCTTGCTCCTGCTTTGCTGGTCCTGGGCTGTATTGGCATGCCCTGCAGACCTGTGCTGGACTGTGCTTCTCTCTCACCCAGTTCTGACAGACTCCTCCTGCTGCCCTTCTAAGTTGTCTCTAGCATCTGTGGGCTGAGAAGACTGGAAATCCCCACTGCTGCTAATGATTCAGTCCCCTGAGGCCTGCTCTGGCTTTGCTTAGGCCAGGTCTGTGCTATGCCCTGCAGCCTGGATGCTCCTCTCTCAGCCCGGTGTAACAGACATTTCCTGTTGACCTTCCAGGTTGTCTTAAGCTGGAAATCTGCCTCACTCTATCTCTTTGTGGGTTCCGCCATTCTAGAATTTGTTCAGTCACTTTTTAGAAGTATTTGAAGGGATTTGGGGGAGAGCTCAGGCAAGTTCTTGCTTTCACTCCACCAACTTGTTTCCACCTCCCTTTTCTTTCCTTTCTTTCTCTTTTTTCTTCTTTCCTCCTTTTCTTTCCCCTTTCTTCCTTCCTTCCTTTCTTTTTTGACCTCTGTATCACTATCCACTAACTTCCTCCCCCATTCCCACCTTCCTTGCAAATACAAGCCCTGTGGTAGGATACATATAGGTAGGCAAAATACATCAACACATTAGCCATGTCTGAAAATATAAGACTCATTCTTCACCTCTAGTCCATAAGCCCTCTATAAGAAGTACCTCATCTTCTCAAGTGAGGATTTCCCCTGGTACCTTCAGGTCTTGGCTCAGCTCTCTGAGGCCACATTATCACTTATTATGTTTCCTGGTATCTTACCCTATGTAGTTTACAATGGAACTTCATCCAGGCCAAAGCTGCCAAGGCCCTGGGCCAAGCACTACAATTCAACCAAAGCCTGACCAGCTTAGAGTAAGTATGTGACATTCCTCACCGGGAAGCTGGGAAAGATGTATGCAGGCAGGAACAGGCTAACTATGGCTAGAGAGGAAAACCAAGCAATTGTGGAAATGGCTGTCAGCAGTGCTGTAGGAAATGCTAGCCCTGAAACCAAAAAACTAAAGCTTTTTCAAGCACCAGCTTGTATATCGGTCACTTAAATGCCCAGAAATTAACCAGGATCTACTGCTTTCTTCCAACCCAAAAGACAATGTTGTGACTCTGATTCACTAGAATGATATGGAGCCAGGAGTTCTTTTAAATTTAATTTTCTGTGGAATATTATTAACAAAAAACAAGCTTGGACAAAAAAATGCATTTTACTTCAATTCTTCTCTATCTTATTAAGTATAGTGAACCACAGAATCTTTCTTTGACAGCTTAAGATCTTGAAGGGACTCCGGGACACCATTTTGAAGATCAGTTATATGTTTCTATGGATAGAGAGTTAAAAGTCTCAGAGAGGACCCCAAAACATCTTCTGGAGGATTAAAAAATTAGTAAAGCTAGATTTTATATTAGCTTGTTTTCTTATCATTTGCTATTTTTCCAAAAAGTAGAGACCTTTGAGTTCCAGGTTGGGGTTAAGGTTATTAGATTCTGGTTAACTGAGGCTTTACTACACATACTAGTTATGGTCTGGTAGATACACCCAATCTGGACTTAAGTACTAGCTCGAGTAGCGTGGCAGTGGCTGAGACATGGAAAGCAGGGAATCATGGGGGGACTTACTGTGTTACAGTTTGCAGGAAAATGCCATAGGAGATGAAGGCGTGATGGCCCTCGCCAGGGCACTGAAGATGAACACAAGCCTCACAGCTCTCTAGTAAGTCTTTAGGTTATATAAACTAACGGTCAAGCCCCATTCCTCCTTTTTACACAAATTTTTTTTCTGTTTGCCAGTCAAAGAAATTGTTTTATTAGGTTGTTGCAACTGGCATAAGTTAAGGAAGGGAAAACGAGCCATTTAGAAGGTAGGCATCAAAGAAGGAGGAGGGAAGTCTGTTCGCCTCAGCGTTTCTTGGACAGTCCCTCTGGTTCCCTATATCTTTCCTCTTTAATTTTAGTCCCTTCCCTCTGAGACTACCTTTTTGGTACATAGTTGTTTATATGTTTTTCCTCTATTAGACCGTGAACTCCTTGAGAGTGGGGAATGTCTTTAGCCTTTCTTTGTATCCCCAGTGCTTAGCACATAGTAGGCACTTAATAAATGCAAATTGACTATTTGATTCTAATCTCAGGATTCAGGCATGCTGCAGCAGTAAGGGAAATCTTTGAGCAAAATGATCTATTAATTCAATTCAACACACATTAAGTCCCAACACTGTGCTTGGCATTGGGGAGATACAAAAACAGGTATTATATAGACCCAGATCTAAAGGAACTTACAATCTATTTTTGGTGAAGCACAATGTACTTACTACAATGTATATATATATAACTCTGATAGAAGGGAGAAGGTAATAAATGCATTGGAGAGGTCCAAAGTGCTTTGGGAAATTTGAGGGGGAGAGCCAAGGAGGAGTGTGCTGGTAAATGTTTAACAACTGAGTCTCCAAAAATGCATGACCCACTTTTAAGTTTAATCTGCATTATCATTGCTTTCTTAAGTCTAGATACATGAAAAAAACAAATCGAGCTTTGGCTTGTAGAGTTTGTCGATTTGCAAAGTGTAAAAAAACTATGCTCTCTCCACGTGGAACGAGCTGGCTCCAGCACACTCCCATCTTCCATTATTGTACATTATTGGTAATTAGGTCAGAAAATTAAGTATTTGTTATAATTGAAATAATAACTAAAAATTCAGTTTGGGGCAAGAAATGAAGAGGCAGGACAGATTTGCTTGTCTTCCATTAACTATACCATTTCTTGTAGTCTTCAGGTGGCATCTATTGGTGTGCTTGGGGCCCAAGCCCTAGGTGAGGCCTTGGCTGTGAACAGGACCTTGGAAATTTTGGAGTAAGTATATTAGTCATTAGGGCTGCAGCCTCTCATACAAAGTACCTGCGTTGTTGACTCAAGAAGCTTGGATGTGAATTTACATATCGAGTCAAAGTCAATCAGCATTTATTAAGTGCTTATTGTATGCCAGACACTGTGCTACCAGCAGGCAGTCCTGACTCCCAAGGAACCCACAATCTAATGGGAAGAAAACATGCAAACAACTATCTACGATAGATGGGATAAATTGCAGCTAACCTTAGAGGGCAGACACAGGCATTCAGGCAGATCCGGAAAGGCTTCTTGCAGAGGGTAGGATTTTAGCTGGGACCTCATGGAAGCCAGGGAAACCAGAAAGCATAGAAGAGGAGGGAGAGAATTCCTAGCTGGGGAGGAAACCAATGAAAACACCCCGAATCAGGAGACTGAGTGTCCTGAATGAGCAAGGAGGCTAGTGTCAGTGGATTGCATGGAGAGGAGTAAAATGTAAGAAGGCATAGTTCTGATGGAAGACAGATTCCTCATATATGGTGAGGTCCTCCAGATGTTATTTGCGGATGACATTGTACTGATTGAATCAATTCCCCCAAATGCTACGTAGCCTTCCAAATGAGGCCCACGGCTACTCAAAAAAGTGTACCCTAACATCACCCAGGAAAAACTATGTGAATAAAAAATACCTACTGAGGGATTGTGGGAAGATGTCTGCATACTAGGACACTGCTGTGCCAGGTACTATGCTAAGCTCTGGGGATACAAAGAAAGGCAAAAAAACAGTTCTTGTGCTCAAGTCTGATGGGGGAGACAACATGCAAAGAACTGTGGATCTACCAACAAGATACATACAGAATAAGATGCGGCTGGTTTCAGGAGAAGGCACCAAAAATAAGGAGGGCTGGGACAGGCTTCTTGGAGGAGGGAGGACCTTAGCTAAGACTTGGAGGAAACCAGGGGAAGCTGGGAGGCAGAGATAACAGAGACAGGGCCAGACATGGGGGGCAGCCAGTGAAAATGGTGGGAATGGGGAGATTGTTATGTGGGAGGAACTATAAAGCTAGGAAGAAAGATTATAAAGGTAGGAAGGGATCAGGTTATGAAGGACTTTAAAAAACAAAACACAAGATTTTATATTTGATCTTGGAGGTATCAGGAGCCCCTAGAGTTTTTTTGAATAGGGGGTAGTGATGTGGTCAGAGAGAGAATCCAGGAGGAATGACCTCCAGGATCAAATGCAAAATATTCTCATAACCTCCATGAACGCTGTGATACAGTGACACTGGCCGCCTGACCGTTCCCTCTCTCCTGACTCCAAGCTGTGTGACTTCAGGCAAGTCATCTAACCTCTGTCTGCCTCAGTTTCCTTTACTGTAAAATGGGAATAATAATAGCACCTATCTCCCAGGTTTGTTGTGAGAATTAAATGAAATACTATTTATAAAGTTCTTAACACAGTGCCTGGAACAAAGGAAGCACTTAATAAATCTTGTTTCCTTCCTCCTTCCTTGAGGCTGGTGATAAGGAGCCACTGGAGTTTATTGAATGGGAGGTAGGAGTGGTAGTGGTGGACATGGTCGTACCTGCACTTCAGGGAAATGAATTTGCCTTTCTTTTTTTTTTTTTTTGGTGAGGCAATCGGGGTAAGTGACTTGCCCAGGGTCACACAGCTAGTAAGTTTTAAGTGTCTGAGGCCAGATTTGAACTCAGGTCCTCCTGACTTCAGGGCCAGTGCTATATCTATTGGGCCACCTAGCTGCCCCCAGGAAAATAAATTTGACAGCTGAGTGGAGGGTGGGCTGGAATGGAGAGAGACTTGAAGCAGGGAAAGCAACCAGCAGGTTACTACTGCAAGAGTCCAGGCATGAGGTGATGAGAGTAGTGGCAGTGTCAGAGGAGAGAAGGGGGAATATACTAGAAATGTTAGGAAGGACAGGATGTGGCAGCTAATTGCATATGGGAGGTGAGAGAGAGGAGTTGAGGATGACATCTGGATTGTGAGCCTGGGTGACCGGGAGATGGTGGTACTCTTGACAGTAATATAGAAGAAAAGAAGTGGGGAGGCATTACAGGGGCGGGGGGACAGGACATAATGAGTTTAGTTTTAGATATGTGAAAGTTAAGATGTCTATGATACATTCAGTTCAAAATGTTCAATTGGCAGTTGGAGAGATAAGACTAGAGGTCAGAAGAGAGGTGAGGGCTAGATAAATAGATTTGAGAATCATCTGCATGGAGATGATCGTTAAATCCATGGGAGTTGTTGAATCACCAAATGAAATAGTATAGAGGGGAAAAAGAAGAAGGTCCAGAACAGAGCCCTGTCTGGGGCTATCTTCTTATCTGGGGAACACTCAGAGTTACAACCAAAGATCCAGCAAAGGGGACTGAGTAGGAGAGGTCAGACAGTTTTCATTTAGAGACAACATACAGAATCTTACCTGTCCCTATTCCAATCCTTTGTTGTCTGTTTGTTTGTTTTTGTCCATGAGGTTTGCTACATTTGTTCCTCATTTTCTGCTTTTGTACCTACTGTCTAAGTTGACTCACTTCAGTCTATGAAAATGTTTAGCTGGGACCTGGGTAGGACCTGCTAATGGGAACAATGACACTTGCCCCTCAAGTATGACGTATACAAGTCTAGCCACTTACGAGGGGTTTAAGAATGTTGTCTCTGTAAGGCACAGGAATCTAATCCTCTGATTGGGTTAGCCCTGCTGCTGGTAATTGGAATGACAGCAATAGCACTGGAGAGGTGCTGTCTCATCTGGGCCTCTGGATTCACAAGAGTTGCTTCTCCTGCCATGGTTGGTCCTTTTTTCTTTCCCCGTGTGTTGTCCCTTAATAGTACCTGAATGTATATAGCATCTGGGTGGGTCTGTATTCTCATAAGGACACATTTTTCCTATGGATATCAGCCAGTTAGATTTATACACACCGAGCATCATGGTAATGTAAAAGAACATTTACTAAAATAGAAATGCAAGATAAATAACAATCAGCAACAGCAGCAAAAAGGCATCAGGTTTCTTGGTGCAATGACAGCCTCATAATTACTAATACCTGAAATAGATTTTGTTACAATGTCAAAGTTCGAGGAAAAGCTGCTATTGCCCCATTTTCCCCTCCCTCCTCTCTCTCTCTCTCTCTCTCTCTTTCTCTCTCTCTCTCTCTCTTTTTCTCTCTCTCTCTCCTTCCTTCTCTCTCTCCCTCCCTTTCCCCCTCTGTCCCTCCCTCATATTTTTTTTGGCATATCTCTCTTCTGGCTCTGGCTCAAATCCCCTCATGCCTCCTCCCTCTTGAGATTCTGCTGCCAGCCTCTCACAGGACACACTGCAGATGCTTCTGCGCAAACAGTCTGAATTCAAGTAGTGTCATCTCCTATTGCGTTTTGCACTGGCTTGTGGAGAATGAAGTCCTTTTCACTGATTGTCATAGTGGATGAATCACTGGAACAGGAGTCGGAGAGACCTTGGTGTGACTCTGGCTTCAGATATTTGGTTCTGTGGGAAAGTCACTTAACCTTTCTCAGCTTCTGTTTCCTGTAAAATGGAGAAAATAATAGTACCTCCCTCTCAGGGGTTGTTTTCAGGATCAAATGAGATGATATATGTAAAGCACTTTCAAACCTTAAATTGCTCCATAAATGTGAGCTATTGTTACTATACCCTCTCCTAATAAATAATTTGTAGTCCTTGAAAATTTTTTTTACCCAATACAAAGGTACAGCTATAAATGCATATCATAAACATTAATTGGCATATAGTGTAATCACAGGCCATTATCTCAAATACACAATATAAATCTGCAGCAGCATAGAGCATGTGCAGAAACACAATATGTGCTCCTATAGTGATAGCTCATATAGCAAAGAGGTAAACTACAAACCTAATACATGGGTCATGTACTACATATAACATCAATACATGGCACATAGTATATCCCATCACTGAGCATCATCTGGCTACATGTGTGACCTCCTCTCCATGACTCCTGAAGTGTTCTAAGCCAGCCTGATCACCAGACAGTCTCGTACTCCCATAGTGACCTCCTGTCAGTTCTGCACCCTTAGTATCCTCAGACCTACTGGTCTACAATCCGAATCCCAAGTTAGTGAATAGTTCAGGAAGATTATCACTGTCTCTAGCCTCCAATGAGTCAAGTACCTTGGGTGGCTTTTGTTCCCTTAGGGCCTTCATGGCTGGAGAATTAGGCAGAAGAGCATCAGTCTGCATTCAGCCCTCCTTTTTGGACCTACGCGGCCTCATCTGACTTTTCTGATTTCCCACCTCACCTCCAGAGGGTGCCAGCATGCAATTCCTTCTTCATCTGAGCCCTCTCCATATGAAGCACCATCACCTAAGACTAACAGTCCATCTGTGAGAGATGGTCCCTTCTTGGAATGCACTTGGCTGATTCTTTATTGCACTTTTCCTCTTTATCAATAAGATGTCAGGTTAACCATTTGGTAAACTGTCAGATTGCTCAATCTTTCAACTACTTAGAATAAGATAACTCACCATCAGTCTATTAGCTTGTGTTTTCTCTGAATGCCAAGATTTCTTTGTAGGATTTTCATCCTTTTGTCTCTTTTAACTCTTGTGGGAATTCCTGATCACAGACTCAAGCATCTTATTGCCACTTGTTCCTCTCTGACCCTTTTTGATCTGAGGACGTAACTGGACCATAGTCTTCCTTCAGCCTATCTCTTAGCAGTGAGGCGTGCTGGTTGTGATTCTCTTTTGAGACCCCAGAGTACGAATCAGGAGGTAACTGTGGCTCTCATCCAAACATCGGCAGGTACAGAGTAAAGCCTGTGGTGTCATTCTTGATAGCATTATATGTATGTACTAAAAAGGACACATGTTGATACCACTAAGCCTTCTGTTCATGGTCCCCAAAATGTGCAGTTATATACAACTAAAATACTCAAGCATTGGATCAACTCAAGGATATTAAGGTGTGCTTTTGAGTTTCTTGCTTTCTGCCAAAATCAACCCATCCTTGAGTGAGAGACATTTTCA